AGCTTTCAAAATTGTACTGCACGAAAGCAGTTGCTTCTGAAAAAGCAACTTTGTGCTTCTGTTTGGTTGATGAACGCGTTCTGTTTTTTGATAGCTGAAGCACTTTACACAGCCTAATATTGATGTTAACATCTAGAGCATCATATTACTTTCCCTAATTCTCAATGAAGATTTGGTTCAACGACTTATAGATATTAATATATGTTTTTCTAAAACTTTGGTTAAAATTAGAAAAACTTAACTTATGAGAGATAGTGTGAACTATAATTTAGAATGGAGGATACATATAAGGGAGATTGTGCCGATTCCAGTGCCTTGGAGGAGGACGTAGGCTGGTACGCGTTACATCATGGAGAATTAAGTAGGACAGACAGTGGGTTGTCACATACAATACAATGGCAATTTAGTCAAGTAAATTAATCTAGCTGCCCGTGCGATGACTAATCATGACAAATGGAATTGTGGGTGAAACGATTAGTATATAGGTTAGATGATTCCATTTGCCAAACAAATATACGAGGATGATGCATGACTTTGAGCAACGAACCATCATTCTCAGGCGTTGCACTTTTGCACATTTCCAGATGAAATGGGAGAAGTAGTAAAAAAAAACACAGACAGCGAGCTGCCATGTCTATTTTTCATAATATAGGTAGTTTTGTATACATCGTCATGCCATCACGGAGTCCCCGGCCCCACCAGCGCTCCTCCTCTTTTGCCACCACCTTAGATCTAGTGGCGGCAACAGCTCTCAACGACACTCATTGCACTTGCCTTCCCTATCTCACCCTAGTCTCCTTCTAGATCGGTGTCTTCTACCGATGGCCGCCTCTATATGCCTCCCCTCACTCTGTCCCTCTGTATCGTGATAGGCGGCTTCAACAACTTGATGTGTGTGTCGCCCATGGCAGGCGGATCCATGTCACGCATCCATGGTGGAGGCAGCGGACGTCGATGACTCCGCGAGATAAGCTTCGATCCATGGTGGAGGCAGCGGACGTTGACTTTTGACAAGAATTTCTCCGGTTTTTTTTTTTTGCGTGATCCATGTTGTAGCTCATTGTGGCTTGGTCGTACCGATGACCACGTTTCCGGCCAGGACCTTTTAACTTTGGATGTGGCATGCATGGGCGACACAGCGGAAGGGAATGGAGAACACAACTGTCATCTGCGTACAATCTTGTTTTCGTTCCAATCAGAAGGGTTTTAACGTATAAATCACTCTTTCCATTCAGGAAAAAAGTGCACAAAAGTATTCTTAAAAGTGCATGCACCCTTCTTCGCATGCATCCAGTCATCAGCAGAGACAATCAATCAATATATTGAAAAAGGACGGACAGTACTACCGCTGCTGTGGTAGTGGTATATGCATGCTTGATATACAAGAAGCTGTTGAGTTGAGCCTGCCCACAGGCTACTGTTGCGTTGACATGCGTTATTCATGCGCTGATCGGTGTTGACTTGTGGCCATCCAAGTATCCAACCATGCAAGACATCTATCCAATAGCTACCAATTATAATATATTTTGCCTGTATATATGCATGTATTAATTAATTGCCAATGAGAGCTCGGTCTAGATATTGTCGCTTGCCACCTTCCGGAACGTGAGCATGCATGCAGTCAAATTCTCCGTGTGGTGCTCCTGCACTGACCACGTTTGGTTTTAGCTGCTGTGCACGTACCTTGCGAACACGCATGCAGCCTAGCAGCACGCACTGGGAGTTGACGACGGAAAGGCAGCTGCCCGCGAGCTCTTCGGGACGATGGGACGGAGGGGAGAACATTAGGCGGCAAAAGTGCACAAATTTCCTGGAAAAGTTCTCCCATTTCGGCTAGAAAAGTGCAAAAGTTCATCGCCAAGAAAATGATGGCCCAGCATATATATTTCCTCGTATTTCTTTGCTATAATCAGTGGATTCAGCTAACCTAATCGTTCACGCACACATTCCATTCAGCAGGGATTAGTCGTCGTCATCGCACGGGCAGCTTGATTAATAATTATATTAGTTGCGCGACTAAACTGTCATGCGTGTGACATGACAGGTACCTGTCGTAATTAACATCATTGCCTTTTTTTTTCTGCCAGGCACATACACAAATTATTCGTCATTATCTTCGCTCCCGTCGCCGTCTCTTCCTCCATCTGCAGTGCCATTATCAGGAGGCATGCTTATCTGAATCATACGTTTCCTCTTACTACTACTACTACGCATGGCATGACTTTCTTGGATGCACGGATAACTTTGCGCTGTTCTCTCTTCACTTCACTGTAGGTGAACTGTTCGAATACGTGCATGGTCCTTGGACACGTTTGTCTTGGATGTCCACGTACCTTGTGAACAGAGCTGACTTGGCGCAACGCACTCAACCAGCTCTTCGCTCGCTATCGACGACCTTCGGTCATCATCACAGCTTTTTCTTACGAAAAGTCTATCAAATTTCGCCTATATACCTAGAAAAAGTGTAAAAGCACACCACTGGAGGTACAATATAGATGGGCAGGGATGGACGCCCAGAGAAACTATGGGTGCGTGGGATTCGTTTGTTGTATATTTATGCCCTACTCGAATAACTGGACTCTCTGGAGATACAATTCCGTACCGTACGCGTGCTTGTTGGTTGCCGGTATTATATTGTCTTCTTGGCGGCTCATTTTGGAATGCAAGCACTTACCCTACTAATAATGTTATTAATGCACTTACTGAAGACAAACATATATAATAAGATAAAATAAGGAAGTGGGTTTGTATAAAATAAGGAAGTGGGCTTGTACCGGTCAAACTTTCTTAAGTTTAACTATGTTTATAAAAAATATTAGCAACATTTGTGTCTCCAAATAAGTTAATTATGAAAATAGATTCAATGATCTATCTAATGATACTAATCATGTACTATAAATATTAACGTTTTCTTATATGTATGTGGTCAAAGTTAAAAGTATTTGACTAGCTCCTCGAGAAACGAGAACGACAATTATTTAGGGACGGAGGGAGTAACTACCTGGCGTTGTGCTGCCCCACCGTGCAACCTTGCATTGAGGTAAACATGGTGGCCGCCGCACCGCTCGCTCAGACTGCCTGGCCATAGTTGGTGACACCGCGCGCGTGTGCTACCATGGTCGTCATGCCGCCGGTTCAAGCTGCCTTTGCAATAGCCGTTGTGCCCGTGCGCGGCTCTGCCGTGCAGCCATGCTCGTGCTGTCGACACATAATAAATTGTAGTCCCGTTATAACGCACGGGCATGTTTACTAGTAGATAAAAAAATGCAAAAAAAGGGTACAATACCGATTGACGTATAGAGAAACTGTGGCTACAAATAAAATAGAGGGCCACAAGTTAACGTCTCCTTGCAGCAGGCTTTCACACAATGCATGCACGACAGTCTCACTGGATAGCTTCGTGGCGATGTTTTCAAGACTGTCATGTCATAGTAGAATGAAATGAAACTTGGATCAAACACCCACTTTAAATGCAAAGTTTTATTCCAAAGTTTCATAGGCATTTAATTTCATGACTCAAAGAGTTGGTAATCGTATCAAAAGAGTTTCGTCTAGATGAAACTCATTTCTTCTATCTCTTCTTAAATACACTACCATGTCATAAAAAATGACTATATGACAATCTATTTAATGTAGATGAAACTTCAATGAAACTCCTACTGAGATCCAGACATGCAATTTAATTAATGTTATTAGGCAAGAAAAGTGCACAAACTTTCATGTGCAACTTCAACCATTTCGTCATGAAAAAGAAGCGCAAAAGTTCACCGTCTAAAAGTGATAGATGGAGAAACGGCTGAGCAACGAAAAACTACTTCAATTCAGCTTTACTGTGATGAACACGGCTAACCTAACATTATATTCCATTCGGCATGATCATTGTCTACTAAGATGAAATAAACTGCCTACTACATATATGGCATGTAAGTAACATAGGTCCAATCCTGTCTACTCCCCACTCCCAAATCGTGCCGTTCTGTTTTTTCTACATACATAGCTTTTCCTAATATAAAATTTCTTATATATCTATATTTATATTAGTAAAAACTATATATATAAAAAAACGAGAACAACTTACATTTTGAAACGGAGGAAGTAGCGTGTATGCATCATCTTTCTAAAACCGGCTTCCCAAATAAAGCAAGCAGCATGAGAGAAATAAACACAGCGGAAAATACAACGCGGAGTTCATCCATACATACACAAATTCGCATGCATTCCTCATTGCCATTTTCATTCTTTCTTTTTTTATAAATTTCTTGGAGCCAAAACAGAGGCGATTAAAATGTGGCTCTATGATTGGCCCCTGGGCCAGACTGACAGAGACGATACAATAACACACAGTGGTAGCTATGCTGCCAGCCGCCCCAGCTGCCATAAGCCGCGGCAAATTACAACAAAGTCCACTGTGTATACTCCGTATGTATTTGCTCGCTAGTCGTTACAGTTTCAATCTCTACTCAACTAGGAGAGTTGCTACATTTGACTTTTTAGCAATAATAATCTTATGCAACCAACTAATATAATACAATTGAAAAGACAACTCACAAGAGATATTTTCACAACTTTTTTCTACAGCCAAACAACGGCAAAATTACAAATCACCTGAACACCAACGAAAAAAAATTCAGGCACATGATGAATGAAATATAGAAGATGGCGCGTTTCAGTAGTACTAGCTAGACTGTTTTGGGTATACAGTACAAAGGCATAGAGCTTCCAAGTTCCTACTGTTGGAGTCCGTATTGTTTGTTCTTTATAACTACAGTCAATTGTGAATTTAAAAGTGAGTTGAGTGAACAAACTGAAGGAAGCTCAACTGAAAACAGCATCCATCGTTGGGCAAAATCCTGGACGAAGACGACGGCGGCGGCGGCGGCGGCGGCCACTGCTACTTCAGTTTGTTGGATTGGACGATCTCCGCCGCAGGGATGTTGTGTTGTCTCTACATGCATGTCGGGTCCCATCCCACTCCCAACCCATGGGCCATGGCTGCGACGTTAACGTTGCAGCTGCCGGCTACACCGACCATGTCCTGCTGCGCAGCAGGGACGACGACCGCGCGGACCGGCCAACGGCGAACATCTCATCGAGGGCGATGACGAGGCCCATGGCAAGCGTCGCGCCGAGGCGTGGGTCCGCCACCAGGCGGAACACGTCGTCCCCACCACGGCCTCCTTCCGGCGGACCTCGGCCAACACGGCGTCCCCGAGCGTGTCCCGCACGGCGCAGGCGCGCAGCCCGTACGAGCCCTCCACCACGTACGATGCCTTGGCCTCGGCGGTGGTGCGGCGGCCTGACGAGGAGGAGGCTGGCACAAGGGGCGTCACGTAGGCCAGCGCCTTCTCCTTCGACGACGCCCTTCTGTGGCGGCGCACGGAGAGGAGCGGCTTGCTGTTGCGGCGCTCCGCCTCGGCATCCGAGGCGGCGTCGCCGTCGTAGATGACCCAGCGCTCCGCCATCATGCCGAGCCTCCTCTTGCGGCGGACGGTCAGGAGCGGGGTTCCCGTGGCGTCCATGAGCACGACCTCGGCGCGCCGGCGGCCGGAGGCGTCGTAGGAGTCGACGCGGAAGGCGAGGTCGCCGCTGGCGTCGTAGACGGTGAAGCCGTCGCAGTTGAAGAGCAGCGACTTGCGCCACACCGTCAGCACCGTGGGCGGCTCCGCCTCGTCGGGCGCCGCCGCGCAGCCTGTGCACGCGCCGCTGGTGCTGACCGGGACTGGGTCGGCGGCGGCGTTGGGGTGCACCTTCGTCTTGGGCATTTTCTTGTCCCCGGCTGGACTCGCTCGATCTTGCGGTAGCCTGGCCTGGTAGGGTAGGGACGTAGGGTACCTCCCTGGACACAGAGGCCTCTGCGTGCTTGTTGTGTGTGGCGGAGCTTGGGGTCGAGTGATTGGCTTGCCGACCGGATTGCAGAGGTAGAAGAGGAGATGGCAATTTATATAGGATCGTTGACGCTGTGTTGGGCGGACGAGACAAGGCGCACGTTACCCCTGGGCTCATCAGGTCAACACAGAGCAACGCACGCGTACACTGCTCCTGCGGGCCCATGTGTGGCCCTGTGCATGTAATGCCCTTTCCCTTTCAAAAAACTTCATCTGAGCTCCATTAATTAGAAAATCAGATTTTTAGACTCTTCTAACTCTTGAAAACGTTCGATTTACCTTGCGTGCAGTTCTGAAAGTGGTTTTGACTGACGTTGTGCCACGTCGGTCACGAAGAAGATCAGTTAGAGGTCAGTTATAGAGGTCATGAGTAGATGATCTTTCGTGGTAGTTTACAGAGGTCAGTTAGACTTACCTCGCTCAATTCGAAAACCAAATTTCTGCACTCTAACTCTTGAAACTGTCCGATTTTACCTTCCCTGGTGGTTCCTAAAATTGTTTTGGCTGACGTCGCATCATGTTAGTCAGTCATCTTACAAATCAGACTTTCACGATAGTTTAGAGAGATCAATTAGACTATAAAAAAATTATAGAACTATTTTTAAAGAAATCCAAATATTCTTTCTATAATAAATATGCATTCAAAAATATCAAAATCTGATTTAATATTAGAAAATTCATACAAAATTTTTAACTGAATCATGTTCTATATTTTCCTGAGCTAGGAACCATAATCTAGAGCATGATTTTAGGAAACGCATGAACTCCGGCATCTTGAGCCCGTCTAAACTGCCTTGATCATGTGCTCCCGGTATATGCATAAACCTACGACAGCGACAACGATTGAGGAAGCGGTCATAGACGTCGGTTGGTAAGTCTGAGAAGTCGCATGCGGACTGTTGGTGATTGTCCAATGAGTTTGCACACGTTGTCGTTGTGATGTCTCCTAAAGAAGACAATGCTACTATAAAGTTATTAAACCACATGATACATGTTGCAGGCCGACCTTGCGTGGGCCGTCTCGCGCTGCAGGCCGACCTTGCGTGGGCCGCATCTGCGGGCCGCCGCGTGCTCGCATGTGTGCGCGCTGCGTTGCCTGGGCCACGCGTGTGGGCCGCACGGGAGATTTAGTTTTCTTTTTCATAAGGAATTAGTAAATGGTTTTCTAATTTAAATTCTGAGATCATCTTTGGTAATTAATATAAAATTATGTAGGTGTCCAAAAATTGTGAAACAAATTTTGTTAGGTTCCTCAAATTGTGATCTATCTGTTGGTGTATTTAGTTCATGTTTGTATGTGTTGACACTAGGAGCTATTAAATCATTTGAGTGCACTTAATATTATTAAGTTAATCATTGTAGAAATTTTTGTGGTAAATTGGTGATAGCTTTAATCCTGAAATTTTTATAGTAGCTTCATTGTATTATTATGTGCTCACTGTAATTTTTGTAGCCTTAGAATAGACTAAGCAGTAGGGTAGTTAAATACTCTTTGTTTCAATATGCATTAAATCCTTAGTAGGAATAATGATGTACCTTTAATTTGCAAAGCCAAGTGTTTGTTAGTTACACACAACACTTTGCTTGATGAAAATGATAGTTAGCTTAGTATCTTAGTCATTAGAGCTAGCTTAGTAGCTTAGTATGCGTATTCTTATTTTAAGAGTTGCTATTGTCTAAATACTAAGTGTTACATCATCATCGCATGCATGTAGAGAACGAGTTGGTGGAGATAGAGACCACAGACGATCGTGAGTTTGAGGTGATCGTCGAGGAGTACGAGGAGGAGATTCTCGTGTAGGAGGAGGTCCCGGAGCCACCGACAACTGACTCAGCTGACACCGCGCCTACCCAAGGCAAGCTCCGATACACAACCCTTATTTTTTATAATCACTGTATATATATGTTATGTTCATTTATGTTACAGGAATTTTATGGAAACCACATGCATAGATATATCTGTCCTATGAGTCTTACTAGTGTAGGATCAAGTAGCTGCTATGCTTAGGTTTTCGGTAGCGTGAGTAACCTGCCGTTACTCACAATAGGTGATTATTGTAATTACTCTCATGATAAAAATGATGAAAGGAAAATTGAGACCGGGCAGGGATATGGTATGGGTTATGGTGGGTGTGACGAGTTGTGTCCCGCGGCCAACGGGGCTTAGCTTGGTTACACTATTTTCTCTGTCCATGTCGACTGAGGACCATCCGTTGCTGTGGATGGTAGTCAGGTCATAGACTTTTTATCCTGAGCACATACTTGCTTATGGGAGAGAGAAGGCTCGTTACACTCTTGTCGTGGGTCTCAAGTGTGGGTGCTTGGAGTCCAAGTTTGGACGGGGACCTAGACCCCATGACATGAGTGGAATGGGTTGGTCTTGTTTGTTCCTAGGGTATAAACGGGGCGTGTGTTTTGGGTACCTAGTTGGGATACATTGGTTCACGAATCATTGTTTGTGTGAGATGGTACGACTTGGATATGGTCTAGCACCGTAGTAAGAACTGTAATATGAAAGATGGTAAAATGGTTCTCATTGCTCAACCCTAGCTTGAAGGTAGTACATGTGCTTACCTGGAATGGTTAGCTAATAAAGTAATCATGACTGCTAATTAAACTTGATCTTAAGGACGTACTTCTAGTAATGTTTTTCATGAAAAAAAAAAACAAAGAACCCATATTGCCTATCATACCCCTTGGAGTCAAAAAACTATTTGCACTAGTCGGGTAAGTCTTGCGAGTACATTGTGTACTCAGGGTTTATTTTACCCTGTTGCAGGTGCAGCTTGAGGAGTAACTCTTGTGTGGAGGATTCTTTTAGTGGGCATAGAAAGATCTTTGAATCGTTTCAGCTAGATGTTTATTTTTATTCCGCTGTTTAATTATCGCACTCTGAACCCTACTATTGTAATAAATAATTTTTAAGAACTCTCGTTGTATGAAATGGACTAAGTATTGTAAGCTCGTACTCATTATTGAATTCTAGAGGTAAAACGTGGATTGATTCGAGTTCTCCCATGGGGTGTGCTCGATGAAACTGTCCAATGTAGCTAACTTTTGGGGTGCTTAGTGTCTAGTGGAAGACGAGCGCCTCCGAAAGCATGTTATTTCGGTCGGTTCTACCACAGTAAGGTCGTCTAGGGTTTTGGTGGGGTGACGATTGAGGAGGTAGGTGGCGGTGTGATGGGAGTCAGCCCAATAAACCGGGGGAAGACTGGCCTGAAATAAAAGGGAGCGCACGATGTTGTTGACTGTGCGAAGAGTGCACTCGGTGCGCCTGTTCTGCTGTGAGGTGTATGGGCACGACATCCGGAGGACTACACCGTGGGTAAGGAAGAACTCACGGCCATTGTCACACTAAACTGCCTTGATAGGGGAGTCAAACTGTGTGCTCACGTACGAGAAAAAGTGAGAAAGGACGCGGAATGTGTTAGACTTGAGGCATAGTGGAAAAGTCCAGGTGTAGTGGGTGCAATCATCAAGAATGATGAGGTAATATTTATAACCAGACACACTAACAACTGGGGATGTCCAAAGATCACAATGTATTCAATCAAAAGGTTGAAGCGCTCGAGAGTTTGACATGCTAAAAGGAAGACGCGCATGGCGGCCTAACTGGCTGGCATGACAAATATGATCAGTATGGCGCTTATTACATGAAATAACATTGGAACTGATGAGCTTGGACAGTGCCTCATGACCGATGTGACCAAGGCGGTGATGCAAGAGGGTGGTGGAGGATGCTTTGCTGCGAGGAGGGTGGGAGTGCTAGCTGGTGCTAGTAGGGGAAGAACGGTAGAGGTCACCCATGCTATTGCACTGGCGATCACGCTCCGAGTCTGTAGGTCCTTCACAGAAAGGCCAAAGGGATCAAACTCGATGGAACAGTTATTATCAGTGGTGAAATGTGGAACAGAAATCAAGTTCTTAATAATGTTAGGGGAAGCCAAAAAATTAGAAAGAAAAAGAGGACGTCGTGGGGTGGAAAACGAGTGTGACCTAGCAGAGGTAATAGCAAGCAAAGCTCCATTACCGACAACTATAGATGAAGGACCAGATGATGGGGGAGGGTGAGAGGAAGATAGAATACCAGCGGTGTTGACCATGTGAGAGCCAGTGCCGGAATTAGCGTACCACTCGGTCAATGGCGGTGGGGTCAATGACATGGTGCTAAAGTTCCTGATGAGTGACGGCGCATCCCAGGACCCCCTTGCATCAATGTCCAAGGGGAAGGCTATTTCTGCTGCGGTGGTAGTGTGGCATAGGGAGCGGGCGGGACACCCCCATAGTTAAAACCTAGAGGGGCGCCGATTCCGTATGGCGACGGTGGTGGCACGGGGTAGAGGTATGGCGCTGGCTACTGCTGCTGTGCCAAGAACTACTGCTGCTGGGGCATGGCAGTGAAGGCAGCTCGCGGAGGGCGATGGGGCGCCCCCGGTGTGCTGCCGAGGCTATACGGGTGCGGTCAGAACTACACTATACCAGCCCAGGGGTTGGTGAATGACGCCGGTGGACAAGGACCCCGGGTGTGGGGCCGGAGGCATTCCGCTACTTGCCGCCATGGCCACGATGATGGCTAGAGCGCTAGGAGGACTGGCCGCCCTGCCCGCCCTGCCCGTTGTTGGTGCCACCTGAACCGCCACCACTGGTAGGAGGTCATGGGGCGGCGTTGGGAGCAGCAACGAGGGCGGACGGTGGTGGTGGGGCGGCATCGGTCTCGGCGGCGACGCCGTCGATGTCGATCTCCTCGAGGTGGAGCAGCGTGCGGGCCTCCTCAAAGGTGGGAAAGGGTTGACGCATCTTCAGGTTGGAGACCATGGGCCAGAACTTGCCGCTGAGTCTACGGAGAAGTGTGAGGACGAGAGTACAGTAGCCGA